AAAAAAAAAAAAAAAAAGAATTCTCCTGACTTTAACTAAATATTCTCTCTTCATCCTTTGGCACGAATTGTGCTCTAATGATGTGAATACTTTACACAAAATCCCATAAAACATTATGCTTTAGTAACTTCCTAGTTAACATTTTCTTTCATTTTCTTTACTGGGGCCAAGGTACAGTTTTGCCATTTGGCTGCAAAAAGACTCTATTTCATAAAATATCAACGGGCGATTTTTAACCTAATAAACCCACAGCTTACGGCAGATTTGCAAACACATCGAATAGACAGAAAGCAGAGGCATATTGTGATTCTTATAACGACATAAAAGCAAACAGTTGTTTCCCTGGAGGTATCCTGAGGTATGAAAATGCCTTTAAAGAAAAAAAAAAACTCCCTCTCTAAGAATCATATACTTGTAATAGAGTTTCTAACGGGCGAAACGATGAATGTTTGCTTATACATTTTTTTAAATAAATAAAAGCAAGTAACAAAAAGGCAAAGTTCATGAGCTACTTTTTAAATTCTTCTTGCTCTGCTATATTATCATTAAATATGATTAAAAAAAAATAGAAACCCTTCTGTAAACGGAATTCTTTCCTCAGCACTGTCCTTCAGGTCATAAGCTTCTATCGCCCTAAATATGTACATGAATATTCACATACGCTTCTGCTCATGTGTGTAAGTACCTCATGCTCAGTCGGCCAAGGAAATATAGGAATCAGGATAACAGGATTTACTGATAATATGTGTGTGTACATGTGTATATGTGTGTGTGTTAGATGTACACACACCTGTCTATAAAATCCTCCATGAAACTGAAAAGAGCTTTTAAAACAGTCATTTCTGCGGGGCACCTGGGGGGCTCAGTTGGTGAAGCAGCTGACTCTTGATTTCATCTCATGTCATGATCTCAGGGTGGTGAGATCGAGCCCCAGGTCAGGCTCCAGGCTCTGTGCTCAGGGGCTCAACAGGGAGTCGGCTTGAAATTCTCTCTCTCTCCTTCTGTCCTCCCTCCCCGCACACTCACATACACTCTCTCTCTCTAAAATAAATAAATAAATCTTTAAGAATAGATACATAAAACAGCCACTTGTAGCCTGTCCCTTGGAGTCTATCACTCAAAGCAGTCGGTATCTGCAGCAGAGCCATGACCTGATCCCTTTTCCCGGGCCGCGCACAATACACCATTACGTCCCTTCAGGCCACGTTCAGACTCGTCACCCCTCCCAGGCCATGCCCGGCCCTTGACTGAGGCGCTCAGTGTTCACAGAGTTAACAGCCGACCGGATGCAGCCGCTTCGGCACAGCGAGGGGAAAAGTGACAGTTTACTTGCACCCCCAAACAAAGCCATTATATTTACCTTCTACTTTGAAGATAGTAAAGTGCGGTCGGCAATGGAAAGAACCCAACGCGTTACCTGCGCAGTTCATCCACAGACCCTGGTAAACCCAAGTGGCGGTTATCACCGAGGATGCTCTCGTGGTCACTTTCCACTCATTGGAGGCGGTGGCCGCGACGAGAGCTCCAAACCCTCCGACGCCGAACACCAGCGCTGAGATCTGCGCCCTGGACATGTCGCTCTGCCTTCTGCAGTGACAGCGTCCACACAGAACGCTGTGGTGGCCTAGGCATGCAGAGGGGCGCCTGGCGCTCAGACAGGCGTCACGGCCAGTTAACGCGCATAGGGGACCGCATTTCAGGCTCGGGTGGCCCGCGGGAGGACGGAGTTCAGGATGAAGTCGGCATTACCGACGGCATTTTAAAGACAGCCTAAGATGATCTCTCTAATTTCCTACGCGGAGATTTACTAAAAATTCGTAGATGGATTTTTAAACGTTTTGACTTCGCAGATTTTTTTCCCCTGGCACCATAGTTAATGCTTAATTTTCTGTTAGCCTGAAGCTTAACGAACCATGCAACAACCAGATATTACAAAGTACAAATTCTACAGTAACAGTGAAGGCTTATTTGACCAATTGCTTTAGTCTCGCATGCTCCTGAATCTTCATACAAATGCAATCGTATCCCACGGATTTTCTAACCTTGTTTTTGCACACATTATGTCCGTGAGATGTAGTTGTCGCTCATTAAATAGTACAGCTGAAAAAATAGCACTTCGTTAAACGGATACACTACAGTTTATCCATTTTCCTGGAGATGAACTTGTGTGTTGCTTCTCCCCTACCCCCATCTGCCTCCCCTCAACAGTGGCTGGAAAAGGTGTAAAGGTTCTCAATGAATTTCTCTTTATGCACCTGCACAAGAATTTCTCCAGGGTAATCTTAAAGACAGAACTGCTAGGGAGTCGGAAATAAGAGCGAACTAGTCCTCCAACTTTACAGACAATACTAAATTGCTCTACTGAGAAATTCTAGCAGGTTACCATCCCACTACTGCTGGGCGAATCCCCATTGCCTCACTTCATAACATGTGGTATTGGGATGTTCTTAGAATTGCTGGGCTTTTGGGGGCGGGGTTTGTCACTCTGATGAGTGTAAAGGTATCACATTAGGATGACTTTTGTATTTGTGGATTAATAATGAAGCTAAGTATATTGTCATGTATTTCTTGGTTCTTGTGTTTTCATCTACAAAGACATTTGTAGTTTTTACTCATGTAATCCTTTGAGTTGCATGACTTTTTATAATTTTTTAAAAAATTTTATTTTTTTACTTGACAGAAGGAGAGAGAGCACAAGCCACAGGAACAGCAGGCAGAGGGAGAGGGAGAAGCAGATTCCCCGATGAGCAGGGAGCTGGATGTAGAGCTCGATCCCAGGACTCCGGGATCATGACCTGAGTGGAAGGCAGATGCTTAACCAGCTAAGTCACCCAGGCGCCCCTCTAATTTATTTTTAGTTCTATATATATCCTGGATAGTAAACTTTAAAAAAAAAAAAGAAGATTTTCTTTATTAGAGCAAGAGCACGAGTGGGGGAGTGGAAGATGGGCAGAGGGAGAGGGAGACTCCATGCTCAGTGGGAGTAATCCTAGAATCCTGACATCATGACCTGAGCTGAAGTCAGACACTTAACCAACTGAGCCACCCAGGTGCTCCGGGATAGTAATCTTTCACTGATTACTCATGTTGCAAATATGTTCCCCCAGTTTGTGTTTTGTCTTTATTTGGCTACTTGATAAAGACTCTGACTTTTAATGTAGTCGAATTTATCAAGCTCTCACTAAATGATTTTTACGTCTGAGATCTTGATTCAGAAATCCCCCTCAGAGATAACAAATTCATTACCCTCTACTCCTATTTCAAAGTTTTAGCTTTTACATTTAAGTTCTTAAATCATCCAGAATTGATTTTTCTGTTTTATGATTTAAAGACCTATTTCATTTTTAAATATGGGAACCCAGTTTCTCTGTCCCTACTAAACAGTCTCATTTTTCTCTACAGATTTGTAGCCATATCAGATATCAGTAATTGCATGACCTGTTAATGGATTCTCTAATCTGTTCCATCTATCTCATCTGTTCCTGCACCCATATGATAATCCCTTAATTACTCTAATTCTATAAAAATTTCTTGAGATCTTATTGATGTTTCTTACTTTGCTCTTCTTTTTCAAGAGTGAGCCTTTGTTTTTTGTTTTTTTTACCTCTTCGCTGTTCCTTTCATATTTTAGAATAAGTTTATCAAGTTATATATGTATGGGGCGCCTGGGTGGCTCAGTGAGTTAAAGCCTCTGCCTTTGGCTCGGGTCATGATCTCATGGTCCTGGGATAGAGCCCCGCATCCGACTCCCTGCTCGGCAGGGAGCCTGCTTCCCCCTCCCCCTCTGTCTGCCTCTCTGACTACTTGTGATCTCTCTGTCTCTGTCAAATAAATAAATAAAATCTTTTAAAAAAAAGTTATACATGTATATGCTTACTGGGACGTTTGTTGGAAGAAAGTAAATAACTTTATAAAGTTGAGTCTTCCTCACAATGAGTATTATATGTCTCTTCATTTAACCCATTTTTAGTGTCTTTCAGTAAAATTATATACTTTAAGTCTTGTTACAGTTTTTGCTTGATTTATTTTTATTTTTTTTTAAGTTCTTATTTTTAAGTAATCTTTACACCCATCATGGGGCTCAAACCTACAACCCTAAGATCAAGGGCCATGTGCTCCAACAACTGAAGCCAGCCAGGTGCCCCATGCTAAATTTATTCTTGAACTTAGGACTCAATCTAACACCTATTTTACCTAACATATGATTTTTCTGATTTTCTTCTTATGTACACAGTTGACCCTTGAACAGCATGGTCACTAGGGGTGTCAACCTCCACACCGTCAAAAATCCACATAAAACTTTTGACTTCCCCAAAATGTAAATAATAGTCTACTGTTGACCAGAAGCCTTACTGAAACATAAACAGCTAACACATATTTCTTATGCTATATGTATCATATACTGTATTCTTACAATGAAGTAAGCTAGAGAAAAGAAAGCATTATTAATAAAATCATAAGGAACAGAAAATACATTTATAATACTGCTACTGTATTTATTTAAAAAATCCACAGGTAAGTGGACCTGCTCAGTTCAAACCCTTGTTGGTCAAAGATCAACTGTACCTATTGTTTTTCCTCTTTCTTGCGTTTTTTTTTTTTTTTTTTTTAGTTTTTTCCACATTTCATCTTTTCCACTCTATTAAATTGGAAGTTACACATTATTTGTACTGTTTAAGAGTTACTCTAGAAATTTTAGTGCATACATAATAAATAAAATCAATCATTGTCTTTACTCTCCCACTGAATAATATAAGGACCTTAAGGCGTTTTAACATTAATAACTCCTCTTCTGGCCTACGTTATTTATTTCTATGTTGTTTGATTTTTAGTTCCATAAATCAGAGTTTTCTCTCCTCAGATGTTAGCCCCACACTTAGTACTGTATATGTCATTTTTCTTTTTTTGCTTGCTATTCCATTGTGCTTCTCAAAACTTCCTTGTGAGTTTACTATTTTTCTCCTTCCTAAGGTCTATCCTGGGGAGGTTTTCTTAGTGAGGGGCTGTTGGTAGTTACCTTAGTTTTGTTTATCAGATAATATATGTCTTCTGTGTTGGAGTTGGTAGATAATTTTTCTGGGTAAACGGTTATAAGTTGACATTTTTTTGGACTCAGAACTTGAAGATAGAATGCCATTTTCTTTTTCTTTTTTTTTTTTTTAAGATTTTATTTATTTATTTGACAGACAGAGATCACAGGTAGGCAGAGAGGCAGGCAGAGAGAGAGGATGGGAACCAGGCTCCCTGCTGAGCAGAGAGCCCTATGCGGGGCTTGATCCCAGGACCCTGGGATAATGACCTGAGCCGAAGGCAGAGGGTTTAACCCACTGAGCCACCCAGGCGCCCCTAGAATGCCATTTTCATCTGGCTTCCATTTTTGCTGTAGAGAAATCCTGAATTGGATTTGTCATTTCTTTGTAGATTAATTCCTATTTTCCCTTTGGCTGATTCTAGGATTCTCTTTGGTTTTGGCAGTTTTGGTTTGACTTTCTAAGTATGAATTTTTTGGTAATCTCCTGTGGCATTTACTGAACTTCTTAAATCTAATGACTCTTATCTTTCATCATTTCTGGAAAACTCTTGGTTCCTTCCTTCTGCAGATGTTACTTCTGCCACTACTATTTCTTTATCTCCTTCTGTAACTTTGGTAAGATTTTTTGGTTTGTTTTTCCTATTTCTTAACTTCTCTTTAATATTTTTGATGACTTTATCTCTCCATGCTGCATGTAATTTGTTGTTAATCCATTCAGAGGTTCTAATTTCTAATACTATCCTTTAAAAAAAGTCTGGAGTTTCTATGTTATCCTTTTTGTATCTTCCTGTTTCCTTTTTCTAATCTCTTGTTCTTTATCATAATTCAAATTGCCAGATACTTAAGTTATATTCTATATCTCATTATTCTCATATCTATAGTTTTTGGAGGTTGGTCTCTCTTTTTTTTTTCTACTGACCCTCTCACTCTTGGTGGTTTGTTAAAAACACGTGCTTTGTGATTTATGATTGTAAGCTTATGTTCCTGGCAACTTTTTCATGGACATGTTTTGAGGCCTGAGTTGGCTATTTGTTCCCCCTGATAGAATTTATATTTGCTTCTTCCTGTTGTTTAGGTGAGCTATCAACCCAGGACTACTTTTTTTTTTTTTTAAGATTTTATTTATTTATTTGAGAGGAGAGAGAGAGAAAGAATGAGCAGGGGTGTGAGGGGCAGAAGGAGAAAGAGAAGCAGGCTCTCTACTGAGCAGGGAGTCTGACTTGGGGGCTCCATCCCAGGACTCCAGGATCATGACCTGAGCTGAAGGCAGACAATCAATGGAGACACTAAGGCACCCCAACCCAGGACTACTTTATTTGTTACTATTTTTAAAAGATTTTATTTATTTATTTGACAGAGAGAGGGAGAGGGAGGGCACAAACAGGGGGAGCAGCAGGGAGAGGGAGAGGAAGAAGCAGGTTGGATCCCAGGACCAAGACCTGAGCCAAAGGCAGATGCTTAATCAACTGAGCCACCCAGGTGCCCCAGGACTACTTTAAATTATCATCTTTTACTAGCCATTCAGTAGGTGTGAATTCTAGTCCCACACCCAAGTGAATGTTGGCTGACTTCTCAGGTAACTTCTGTTTGTCCCTATTCTCAGATCCATGGTTGAGACAGGACATTCCCTTACCATGACCCAGGAGGGCAGTGATGGAGATGATTGATGGGGATAGTGAAGCAATGCTTTTAAATTTTTTCCCCTATAGTTATTACTTTGGGGGTGGAAACAAGTTTATGCAGAGTTCT